CACTTTGGCTCGTCTCGGAGGGCCACAAAGTTTTTCACATGCAAAAAGCGCAGCTTTGCAACTTATGGCTCAACGAATAGTCTTTTGACTTAACAGCTAGAAAGGAAGCCAACGAATTTAACCAGTGCTTCATTATCCGAAGTTTAAGCACTTCTGGATCGCAAGCCAGCTATTGATCAGCGCCTTAATCTGGGAGTTAACACGTACTGGCGTGGTGGTACGATAACTAAGAAGTCGGCTTCGAACTCCGGAGTGCCCGGTCGATGACGTTGGAGGGCAATCTTTGTTTTAACCATGAATTCCCTTGCGCAAGGAATTTGCCACACGTTCTTTCAGACTGGGGTTGTTCAGTGTGTAGAGCATTGGCTCAGAACAGGGAGACTTCATGTTTGAGCTCGGATCGCGGCCACTCGCGTTTCTTCCTTCCAATGGTGATAGATGAGTACTACTTTGTGGAAAAGAAACAGACGACTGCACAACGTGTTTGCTACGTAGTTGCTGTGAGTGTGCCCTAAAAAAATTCACTACTGTCTCTTTGATGACATTCGAATGGAGATCAGCGCCCCATCATGAGCTTTATGAGAAGAACGGTACCGGAAATAGTCCCGTGGTGAAAGCGTGAGGGAGACCGACATTCCAACGGACGGCTACACGCTGTTCTTCCCTTCCCTGCTTAGTACGTGAAGCAAGTGACGAGGAACAGGCATGGAGGCAGACAGACGACTGCGAGATTGCACCGGGCAAAATTGTGGCTTCCGCTCATCTCCTTCAATTCAGCTACCACCAGCAAACGCCCGGCGACACCATCAGGACCACTGTAGCCCTGAAAGCCAATCAATGACGACGACTGACATCAAAAGGCGAATGCCGAAAGCGTCGTCGGTTCGAAGCCCGGTGACGGCGGAGCGCAGAGCCGGAATGTGAACGGCACCGGCATACGCTTGATCGGAAGAACAACAGAGACCGAACGAGGATCGAAACTGAACCAACTTTATTCCCAAGCAAAGTTATTTTCAAATCGTGTCGACGCCATTTCCATTTCATACACGTGGAAATCGTTCGTTGACAGCAAAGGCAAAGCACGCAAATCAGATACGCATACAAACAAGCACATGGCAAGCTCTTGCCGCATTTTCTAACACGTCGGCCGACTTCTCCCGGAACTGCGAAACTGATACTGATACTGTTTCTGTGGCTGTCTGCCGTCCGCCCTCGCGACGGCCACTATTCATTCAGACAAAGACTTGCTGCTTTACTCTGAAGCATACGTCTCGCATAATATTGTGCCTGGCAGTAATGATCAACGGCAGAATCAACAATTACATGTACGAAGAGAAAGAATACTATTTACACATAGCTTCGTCGGATTATTTATTAACTTCTAGTCTTCTATGACTTTACAAGTTCAGAAATTTCTGCAATCGGCTGATCATGTTTGTATCTCGTTTCGTCTTCTTCGCGTACTCTTCCACGGCACCGGCTGCAGCTGGAGCTGCCGCAGGCATTTCTCCGTAACCTCCGTAGCCGCCGCCGCCCCCGTATGGCATGGCTGCTGGATAAGGCTGAATGTATATGGGTCTAGGCATAGAGGGCATCATGCCACCTCCGTAACCGCCACCTCCGTAACCTCCTCGCCTACCTCGACCGCAACTCTGACAATAAATAATACAAAAATTTCACAATTAAATTCAATATTTATTACCTGTGAGAATTCTGTATTTAATAAAACGATAAGAACCACTGAAACGAAAACGTTTTTCATACTGCTGCCTAAAGATTCTGCCGGTCAGCACTTATAAACCAAAACTAGGAGCGTATAGACGTAGCTCTGGCTGCTATTACCTGTTCCTTATTCTTCAAAACCTTTATAAAAAGGATCGCCCTTAAGTTGCATGACCAGTTTTTATTGTGGAAAAGTCTGTTTAGAATTTCTAGCACAGCTGAACTGTGACGCCATCCTTTCTGCATCAGCACACCGTGACTTATATCGGCTTCTGTAGGGGAAAAGAAAACGACTCGGCCGCGCCAATTCTGTTGTCGCGACAATTTCATCCTCGAACAGCGCGTCTGATCACGTCATTCATTAGGACGGCTCTGTTCGTTACTTAACGCTCAGTACTTTTCTGGTCCAGTGGCAGCGGGCGAACCAAAACTAACTACTAAACACTTGGCAGATATGCAGTGCTAGACATGGCACATATTCACTTGAGGCAAATGCACCTACACTTTGAGGGCAATAAACGTGCGCAATCTAAGACCTTTCCCTTACGATCAGCGCATCGCTACTACAACGAGCACATAATGCATTATTGCTGTTTCTAAATTGAAATTTGTGTTCGCCTCAAGGAGAGTGAGAACTGACCAACAGTTAAAACACGGTATCGCATTCCACGGCAAAATTCATAAGAAAATTTTTTCAGTCGTTACGGCAGCTAAGAAGACATATGAATAATTGAATAACTGTTGACTAAGTACAGTAACAGGATAGTCACCGGTTTCATAGTTTCTTGACCTTCAATGTGCATGGATAGAGAATATTTCGATTCAATCTGGACTGCGCGTTACCGTATGTTTATTCTCAGAAATATCCTGACAAGATTTATCGCGTCCTTCATCATGTGATTGATCTCTGAACAAGGCTTCGATAGGGATGGGTGAACTGAGAGTACATTTATTTTTAGTACTTTTTGACTGAGGCCATATAGCACATGTCAGACCAGGCTTTCAACGTTCCCGATACTGTGCCAGAGTCTGACCTTCTGCAGAAGTCAACTGTAATCTGCAGCAGACTCTATGCCATTACTGATCGTCCACAGAAACTTCGTCTCATCGTTACTGCAACTAGTAGCTGCCTCTCCTTCCTCCAGAGAGGCATTCGCAACACGTGCCCAAACCATCGCAACTGCAACTTCTTGGCTGCGAACCTTACTAGGGAGCACTGAAGATCAGTTTCGAAAGATGCCAGTAAAACAAGTCA